TTTTTCCTCGGTAATGACGAGAATAACTTGGTAGCAACATGATTCAAAACTATGAGAAAGAAAACCAATTGTTTATTGTTTTTTTTGGTAGACACTATGGCTTCAAATTTGGACAGGAAAGTTCTCGTTTTACTTTTTTTTAATTATTTTAGCAGTTATTCAGCAAGACTGACAAAAGTTAACGATTTCCAAAAATTAAAATAGTCAAAATAAAGTGAACCAAACATACAGTTTACCAAAGCATTTTTGTTTCACAAACATTATACAAGAGCTTGTTTTCTCAAGTCTCTTATAAACTATTTGATAAACACAATTAGTGTAGTTACTGTTTCACTGTGTCATAGGAGAAAGAAAGAAAAAAAACCTCTCAGTAAAGTACAAAATTTTTGATAATTAATTGAATATCAAATACATCAGAACCTTAAAGGACTAGACATGGAGCTCAGAAAAGTATTGTTCATTACAGGCATCATGGGAGATGTTCCCTTGGAGCTTTAAACATCCTTCATGGATCAGTGTCATCAAGTATTGTAGAAAGGTTGAGCATTGGAAAAAATTATTAATACTTTCAGGAGGCTCGCTCCTATGACTTGAATAACTAAAATCTAGAAGAAATAAAATTAAATTGCACTTGCCCTAAATATAGTCCTGTTCCTATCACTTGAAGATCTCCACTGTAGATGCAGTAACTATTGATAACCATCTACAAATCATAACAAGGACTTAGCACAAACACACAAAAATATATAAATATCTGGATTTAAAATCTAGTCTTATATCATTATATATATATATAAATCAGATTCTGTTTTACAAAAAATAAAAACAAGAACCACAGAACATGCCTTAATAAAATTCATTTATGTACCTTGCCAAAGATTTCAACAATTTCATTAGGGGAAGGCAGGTTCTTTTCTCCAATAAAGAGCTTTAATCCCAAAATAAGGGTAGCTAGTTCCTCAGATCGTTGTAAGTCATTTTTTATTTCTTCTTCATCTGTCAACAAAAACATAAAAAAAACATGGTAAACACATTCAAGGAATATCATGTAGTACTAACTATAAAGTATACCCAAAAGATATCTACTTATAACAAAAACCACAGAAAATTTTAGGAAACAACATAGTTAAATTTTACAACATTGTGTGATAGTTTATCAAAAATGTTTACTCCATAAGAAAGTAATATCATCACATAAGTTTAGGCTTCTCAGTGCAAGAACTGGTCTAAAACATGTACAACTTCTGTCTCTTAACACCTTTAAAATATAAATATCATATAGGTTTCCAAAGTGCTAAATATCATAGTAACAAGCAAGTATTTTAATCTTCAGAAACAAATAAATATATTCTTCTTTTACACATCTTAACCTATCATCTTTAACACAAATGCTTTTACACATCTTAACCTATCATCTTTAACACAAATGCTTTTACACATCTTAACCTATCATCTTTAACACAAATGCTTTTACACATCTTAACCTATCATCTTTAACACAAATGCTTTTACACATCTTAACCTATCATCTTTAACACAAATGCTTTTACACATCTTAACCTATAATCTTTAACATAAATGCTTTTACACATCTTAACCTATAATCTTTAACATAAATGCTTTTACACATCTTAACCTATCATCTTTAACATAAATGCTTAACAATATACAGTGTTTGTTTAACCAAAAATATGAAACTTGCGTGACATGAGATCTTTAAAACTCCGACTGTGAGGACCAACTTTCTCGAATTCCTTTCTTCCCTCAGACCGCTGAAAAATCAAGCATTCTTGTATAGTTTCATATACTGGAAAACATTTAAAAGTAATAGTAATACATAAATGATCAAACTTAAAAATGAGAAAGATGGCAGTAGGTGGTAACCAAAGTCACTCCTAATTGCAGTATTGCATCATCAGGTAAACTATTGTTCATCTCTTACACTATTTTATAAAGCTTATACTTCTTACAATCAAAATGTGATCATCATCTATTTTATGATTTTTATGTCAAAAAAATATGTACTTCCACATTAGCCTATTCAAGACCCAAAAAGTTTCGAAAATCCTAAACGATATTACTTCTAGTTCCCCCTACACTCACTCCAGAAAAAAAAAAAGGGTTCATTTCAATCAGTTATATCTATTCTCATAACTCCAAGTATCAAAACCAGGTATCTTTCTGATTCTACACATCCTTTCTGGCAGACCAATACACACTTCTTAAGTTTAAAAGGAGACAAAAACTTAAGCAAAACTCCAAGACCTAACCAGTATTATACAAATTAAGAATAACCTTAATTTTATGCTAAAAATTTCTAAATATGTAGACAAATCCCAGGATGCTTGAGTTACCACCTTCTGATACTCTGTCAAACGCTTCAGGTTTTTTCCCAGCACTCACTTCCAAAATATCATACTTATACACAGTAAAAGAAAAAAAAAGCCATTGGAACTGATCAATTTCTTGTGTATGTATTGTAAAAAGTAAATGATTTAGAATATAGTTAATTGTATGTCAGTATCTATGTAAGTAACCAAAACTCCTGCACCATCTATTGAATGGCACCACAAACAAAAATCCATAAAAAAATTTTCACCCTTTGGGTATTCAAGATTCAGACAATTAGTAAAATAACTGTGGTATGTGCAACAACCATCTCTTTATAACAGAATACAATTTTAAATAAAACTACTCTCCTCACAGCAAGAAAACAACTTTCACTCGAGCTGCACATGAGGGTTTGATTATATCTTTATAGATGTAATTTTTAAATGTAGTACTGAGAAAGTAATTCCCAGAAAAAAAATCCTTTTT